TTTAAAAAAATGGTACATTGTTCTTCATAGTATATTGGTTTTCTTAAGGTTTGATGATTTTATTTACACACACACACACACACACACACACACACACACACACATATATGTAACTGAGAATTTCACATTGTATTTTGATCATATTCACCCCCCAACTCCTCTCAAATCCATCCCCAATTCCATGCCCACCCAACTATTTGTCCTCAGTTAAAGAAATCCAGACCAATTAGCACTGTCTATATCATTTTGGGTGTGTGTCCATCCACTGTAGTGTGTTTAACCTACCTGGGACCACACCCTTAAAGAAAACTACTCTCCTAATCCCGGCAACTCTCTATTACCAATAGCAGCAACTCAGCAAGGGGTAGCTTTGTGCCCACCTCCTCCCTGTGTGCTGGGGTTTCCTACCTGCTGGAAGTGCCTCTGTGCAGCTGCCCTGCGGGGTTCTTTTGTAGTCACTACCACCTTTGGCTCTTAGAACCGTTCCACCCCACCCCTTTTCCCACTAGCGTCCCTGGGCCGTGGTAGGAGAAGAGAGTGGTGATAAAGATGCACATTTAGGGCCGTCACTTCGTAGTTCCTTATTCTCTGCACCTTGCCCAAATGTGGGTCTGTGTTAATTGCCATACACTCTTAAAAAAAAAAAAAAACTTTTCTGATGAGGTTTGAGAGATGCACTAATCTATGAGCCTAACAGGAAGTCATTAGGAGTCAGTTTAATACTATGTCCCTTTGGCAGAGAGAGAGAGAGAGAGAGAGAGAGAGAGAGAGAGAGAGAGAGAGAGAGAGAGAGAAATGGCGGGCTCTCCCCTAGAGCCTATGACCTGTCTAGCCAAAGGTTTTTGACCCTGGTAACAGTGCCAGGCATGGGGTCCATCCTGTGGAGTGGGCCTTAAATTCAACCAGAGAGGGTCAGTTACTCCCATGACACTCAAGCCACCATTGTGCCAGTGGGCATGTCTTACCAGGCGGATGGTTACTGGAGCTTGTGGGGTTCACAGTTGTGTGTAAGACTGATGATTAAGGTTTGGTGGTTTCTATTGACTATGCATTTTCTACTTTCTGCTTCTGTGCTGTTAAGTTTTATACACTCTAAACAAGTTATATTATCTTTAGGAATATCTTTTTTTTTTTTTTGAGACAGGGTCTTACTATGTAGCTCTGACTGTCCTGGATCTCACTCTGTAACCCAGGCTGGCCTTGAATTCACAAAGATCCACCTGCCTCTGCCTCCCGAGTGCTTGCATTAAAGGTGTGAGTCACCACATCTGGCTTTAGGAGTATCTTTATATGAATTTGAGTTCTGGATACTTAACCATGTTGTTAGTGTTCCTTATTAATGGTAGATTGTTTTGTTTTAATTTTTTTGAGACAGGGTTTTTCTAGCCACCTCTTGGCTGGATTGTTTCTGGTTTTGTAATGTGTGATTGTGTGTTTGTATTGAGCAGGGCTTCAGGTCTGTGTTCTGGGGTGGTCCCTCCTGTTGTCTGCTTCACCTGGAAATTTCAGTTCTATCGTTGTTCTCTGTCCACTTTTTATGTCCGTTTATCAACCCCTCAGATAAGGTAAATTTGAACCCCTAACCTGCTAGGTATGGTACTAGCAGATACAAGCTCTGATTTTTGTTTGTTGTTGTTGTTGTTTTTTTAGACAGTTTCCCTATGTAGCCCTGGCTGTCCTGGAACTCACTTGGTAGCCCAGGCTGGCCTTGAACTCACAGAGATCCACCTGCCTCTGCCTCCCAAGTGCTGGGATTAAAGGCGTGCGCCACCATTGCCTGGCTACAAGTTCTGGTTTTGAATTCTCAAGAAGGATATTGCTCTTACCATGGCCAGAGCCCAGCTTCAGATGGACAAGCTTTTGTCATCTGTGGCAGCCATGTTGCTCTACAGTTTGGATCTCAGTTTAAGAGCTTGCCATTCAGCTCTGCCTGTGAACACCTTTGGGAAATGCCTTGGTTTTAATGTTCTGCTTGACAGGGACTGAGCAGCTGGGGCTCAGGGCCTGGTCATTTCTGTCCAGCATAGGACTCCTTCAGTGGGCAGCGCTTCCTCTAGATCACCTTGCTGGGCTGGCTGAAACGGCCAGGTCTGCATCCTGCCTTGTTCCTGATTTCCAAACCTGCCTCCTCGGCTGTCCTTTTGCAGATGCTCCAGTGGCCGTGTGGCCTGAGATGTATAGCCTGTGAAGCCCTGCTTCCTCTCCCTTTGATCTTCCAGAGGTAAACTTTTTGCACTTCAGACTGTCTTAGCACTCGTTTCCTAGAGGACCCACCGTCACATGGTGGTACGGTGCCAGGATGTGTTTTTGAACCTCGTGTGTGCTGATGACATGGCTTACAAGGTTTTTGTGGAGTCCAGTCTTGCCTTCGACTTATGGCTGTGCTCTTCTCCAGACCCAACCAACCCCAGGGAGGTACAACAGGGACTTGTAACTGGGCATGCAGTTGTCTTCATTTGGGGCATATAGTCTTTACCCTTTATTTTTTGTCTTAGCTTTGTATTTGAAAGCATGTTTATTAAGTATTTTTTAGAAATTCAAGATGCACTTATCAGCAATCTGTTTGGGTCATATGGTTCACAATATCTGCATTTATTATTTAAAAAGTTTTTTTAGATTTATGAGTGTTTTGCATGCATGTATGTATGTGTACTATGTGCATGCTTTGTACTCGTGGAGGTCAGAAAGGGGTGTCAGATCTCCCAGACCTGGAGTTATGGATGGGTGTGACTACCATGAGCATTCTGGGAGTTACACTCAGGCCCTCTGCAGGACCAAGTGCTCCCAACCACTAAGCCATTTCTCCAGTGGCTCCCCCAGCCCTGCCCCTTGTTTAAAACGGGGCCTCACTCGGCAGCCCAGACTGGCCTTGAACTCAAAGTGATCCTTCTGCCTCAGCTTCCCAAATGCTGGGATTAATAGATGTGAGCCACCACACCTGATACCCCTGCATTTTAAAAATAACATAGAAATTATTTGAGAGTATATATTAATGTCTAAATGGTCTTTTAATATTTTTAAACAATCATGTGTACATTGTAGGAAACTTTATGAATTACACCCAAATTAGGAACTCTGTCTTACAGCTGTCCAAGAGAAAAGGTCTTGTTTTCTATGTCTCTTGCCTTGTTTTTAAATGGTCAACTTCCATAGACATCTACAAGGTAGGAAAGGGTTGGATAAGGTGACAGATGGAATCTACACAGGAGTCTGGGAGAGAGGCTGGTGTCAGTTCCACTTGCAGAGACCAGGGGAGGCTGGATGGCTCTTTGAGCCAAGACCCAAGGGGAGGTAGGAATGTACCAGGTGGACTGGGGACAAGGGGAAGGTGGATATTGTTTGCAGTGGCTGTGACATGGAGTTCTGGGGGGAGCCAGTGGCTGTTTTTCTAGGGTGAGATGCAAACGGTTAGAAGCACTATGCTGAATTTTAGATTTTAACCTTTACTAACCAGGGAGCATGGAATGGGGCCTCTGTGGCACTGAGACCTTCAGTGATGTAAGAGTTTGCTTGCTTGTTTGTTTGAATCATAGCTGGGTGGAGAGAGTGGCTTCCTTGGCAGTTAGAAGCTCTTGCTGCTTTTGTACAGGACCTAGTTTGATTCCCAGAACCAGTGTGGAGGCTCACAGGGCCTGCAACTCCAGTTCCAGGGGATCCAACACTCTCTTCTGACTTCTGAGGACTGCTACACACGGTGCACACTAACGCACACAAGCACACACACATGAGAAGAACTTTAAAACAATTATAGTTACTTTCCAGTTGTGTTTTTCCAGGGTCTCATGATGAAAAGCCCTGGCTTACTGGACCTGTGTGGAGCAGGCTGGCTTTGAATTGCAGTGACCCTCCTGCCTTTGCCTTCCAGTTGCTGGGATGATAGAGCACATCTCCTCGCTGGGCTCAGGTACTTGATGTTATTGATATGGTTAACGTGCAGCTTGACCCATCTTGTCTTCTGTCATCTGGCAAGTGGCACCCAGCCCAGGATGGAGAAATCCTTTATTAGGGAACCATGGCCAGGCTCTGGCTTATTAGTCTTGCATTGAAGAGTGTGGGGATGCATGCAGGAGTGGAGGGGTTAGGGAAGAGCAAGGGCACCGGAACTGGGTAGGACTCCTTGCTGGCTTTCAAAAATACTAGAGACATCCACTGGGGGAAGATGACCAGAAGTGAAGAAAGGGGTCAAGTGGCAGAGTTAGGCATTGTCATGATTCTCCGTCATGGGCCTGGTAGAACCATCCCTTCTGTCTCATTCTTAGGTCCTTCATGGAAAAAATATGAAATAAGTGAAAAATAAAAATTTTAATGCATCTTTATTCTTAATTATGTGTATCTGTGTAGGAGTGTGTGCTTATGAGTGCAGGTGTCTTAGGGGCCAGGGGCATCAGCTCCACTGGAGCTAGAATTACAGGAGGCTCACAGCACCTACCATAGGTGCTGGCAATTGAACCTGGGTCTTCTGCAAGAGCAGCCAGTGCTCTTAACTGTTAAGCCAGCTCTCTAGCACCCCCCCCAAATTTTTTTCTTTTCCTTAAATTATGACTAAGATGAGAAATGCCGAAAGTGTGAGGTGAACTATCAACAGTAATTATCAGCCTTTGGGTGGCAGTATCGAAAACACACTCCTGGAAGCAGCAAGACCAGGATGCAGCCAGAGGTACTGCCACTTCCCCAGGCAAGGGCGGGAGGACGCAACAGCTTGCATCCATTTTCTTGATAGTCCATAGTTTTCTCCAAGAGCATCCTATCTTCCTGAATACCATCTCAAAGTAAACTAAACTATATAAACTTTGACTACAAAACAGATTTGGTAGGTTTTGATTCTCCCTCCAAAATCCAGTTTATCTCCAGGGAGCCAGACTTCCCTGAAATCACCCACTCACAGTTCCCAAGTTGGCCAAGCGTTAGCTATGGGGGTTGAGGAATGGCCTCCTGGAGGAGGTGTTTAGAAGCAGCAGGGAAAATGACCAAATGCCTAAGAATGGAATCCATCAAACAGCCTTGGTGCTGGTTAGGTTTTATTTTAACAGGATGTTTTCTGTTCATTTGTTTTTCAAAATATCAGTTATATCAATATTAGAAGTGTAAACAGGTACAAAATATACAGTACATAGAAACAATCTTATTAACTAGTCTATTTCTAATAAAAGTACGCAGAAGGGAGCTGATTGGGCACCATGGTCTCTGCTCTCTTCAGGGAGTCGTTACCCATTTGGGGAAGAGGACCAGCGGCTGCTTTAACAAAATGGGAATGGCTGTGTGTGCTGGGGACAGCACTTTTACGACAGAAACTTGGACCTAGCTCTAATTCCACCGTGAAGACATTCCAGGCAAGCCTGAGAAAACCACTTACCCAGTTCCCTGGCACTCCAACTACCTCCTGCGTGCCTAGTGACTCGGAAGCATACTGGGGCCGCCCAGCTTGAGCTGCCGAGGCAGGGGCTCTCTGTCTTCATGATCTGATCCATTTGTGTAGGACAAATCTTTTAAGAGGGCAAGACCTCAAAACCTTTCCTCCCCTAAACCATGTTCCACGAGAGAGAGCTGGGACTTAGTGAAGCTCTTCCCAGTTCCTGGAACACACAGTACTCACAGTGAGAGGCTATGTCCCCTTTGAGCCCTTTATTTCTCTCTAAAAAGAACCACCGTCTGCTGCTTCCTAGTCATGGTAATGGAACCATTTTGAAAATGAATGTACTGCACAATGGGCAGCCAACAGAAGCATCCATGGCTAATGGACATAGCCCAGGATGGGTGGCCCTGGCTTTCTGTGACCTCATGTTCGAGGGCCACCACCCTCCAGACCTAACACGACCACAGCTCCATGACTCTTAGTAGCCAGGCCCACGACTACAGTGGACAGTACCACCTTGGACAGGTACCACTGATGGCTCGGACAGGGAAAGTCAGGCCTGGCTTTAGGGGTCTTTTGAGAAGGTAAGGGCTGCTTCTAGGGTAGTCCCTGCTGCTGAGTGGAAGCTGTCTGTCTAGGCCCCTAGTGCCCTCATCACCCAGGACCTAAGGGCCAGACTAGCTGCCTGAATAGAAGGGGAACTCACCTGCCATAGGACTGTGTGGTCCAAGGCCGGGAGAGCCCTTGCCTGCTCTTCCCACTGACCACCTTTCCAACCCTGGTAAGACAAGGTGGACACACAACCTTGAAAGCCACAGTACACCTCAGAACTTCAACTGGTGTTGCTACTGTTTTCCATCTTTTTCCTCACGAATTAAAGAGAAAAAAACAAAAAAATGGGTTTGTAATTAAATTACTTAAGATCTACTAAGGTGTTCAGTCTCACAGTCGGAATCCTACTCTCTTTAAGGTGGAGGCTGCACTGAGAAGTTTCTTTCCAGTGACCAGTTCAGCAACGTGGAAATTTGGTTCTCTGCCAAGTCTTCCTTTTTGCTTCTGAGCTTTCAGGCCACCTTGCTGTCTGCACATGGGACTTTGTACATTTGTGGCCTGCAGGGGCCACGGGAGGGTTGGAGGATGTCACAGATCCCCACCACCATCAGTGGGTCCCAGGACACTTAGGCCACAAGTCCAGTCAGTCACAAGGTCTGTGGAAGCCATGGGTCCTTTGGCTGCCGGGCTCTTGAAGGGGTCGGGAGGAGCCGGCAGTGGTGGGAGCGGCTGCCCATGAGTGGGCGCCTTGGCCATCGCCGGGTGGTTGCGCTGGTGCTTGCGGAGGTGGTCCTTGCGGATGAAGCTCTTGCCACACACTGTGCAGGTGAAGGGCCGCACGCCCGTGTGCGTTCGGTAATGGTCGATGAGCTTGGAGCGCTCTGTGAAGCGCTTCTCACACTCGGTGCAGGGGAAGGGCCGCTCGCCAGTGTGTAGCATGCGGTGGCGGATGAGGTGTGCAGGGCGTGTGAAACAGCGGCCACACTCCCCGCATCGCAGGGCGCTGCTGTCCCGTGCGCTACCCCCACCTCCGCTGCCACCTCCGCCACCACCTCCGCTGCCACCTCCGCCAGTAGTGGTGGAAGCTGCCCCTGTGCCCGCCCCGTCGGGCAGTCCACAGCTGCGCTGGTGCGCGCTCAGGCTCACCTGCAGCTGGAAGCTCTTTCCGCATGTGGCACAGGTGAAGGGCCGGCCTCCAGGGGGCGCGGCTGGGTGCTTCTTCTGCCCCGGCTTATGACCAAAGCCTTTTGTCCGGCCCGGGTATTTGCAGGGATCATTGAAGGGTCTTGGGGCCTGGCTGGGGTCCAAGATGGCATCTCCATTGTCAGGAGAGGAGAAAGGGAGTCCCTCGGTTACCGTCCTTGGGTTCAGGCCCACAGGAGGTTTACACCGGAAATTCCAGCCCCACCTGACGCCACCAAAGAGCCAATCCCCGGCAGGGGCCTCCTCCTGGGCTACGGCAGGACTCAGCTCACCAATGTCCCTCTCTGGCCGAGTGGGCTCCCGCAGCCCCAGCACCGGGTCCTGGCTGGGGAAGGAGCTGCCTTGGCTTTCCCAGGCTCCTTCCTGGACAGGGCTGGGAAAGAACCTTGCGGCTTGGCCTGGTGCAAACAAAGTCCCATGAGCCTCCAGGTCGGTGGGATGCACAGGTGTGGCTACCACTTCCTCTTCCTGGACTTCTGTTTTGATAACAATTTTTACGTCTGCTGGAAGAGAGAAAAGCAGAGATCATTCTGGACATTTTTAAAGGCCACAAAGGGTCAGCCCCATGGAGCCCCTGGTTCTGAGGCTAGCCCAAAGCTTCACCTGGCCTGGTGACTTCCCCACAGTAAAAGCAACTCCCAGAGTTTGTCCCCAGATTCTGTTTTCTTTTTCTTCGGCTGTTAAAATAAATCATGAGTTTATTCTAAGAAAGGGATTCTGAGTGTGATGGCCATGTACTAAAAATAAGGCCGAGGCACAAGCTTGGCCTCTGAGGCATCTGGGACTCTGTACAGCTGTCAGGAACATTTCTTAACCACAGCTCCACTGTGAATGCCCAGCTTCACAGGGCTACAAGATTAGCCTGGACAACACATCTGAAGGTACCTCAGCATGCCATCTGGTACGCAGTAACTGAAGTTACCTGATGACCAAAATGTTACTGAACAAATAGAACGGTTTGACTTTATATAAATATATTGAATTTTAAGCCCAAGGCTTGTTATCAGGGATCTTGGATTTTTAGTGTATTGGGGGTGGGGGTGGTAAAAGATGACAGAAATTTTTATTGAGGTAACAGATAACTGGCCTTCAAACAAGAGAATGAATACAAGAATGTGAGAGCTGTTCTTTCCAGCTCTGGCTTCCGCTGTCTTTGGCAGTACTGATATCTAGGAAGTGGTTTTAGCGCAGTCTGTTTGCATCTGTGCCATGGGAGCCACAGGTTGCCTGGGGGGAGGGGGAAGGCCTGTCCTCCAAGAAATCAGCTTATGTGAATAGACTGGCTAACTCCACATGAAAGGAACTGTATAAAAACACAGGCATCCTCAAGGAAGGCTGTTCAAATGAGAGAGTTTTGAAGGAGAAGAGAGCAGAAGGCACAGAGGCTAGCTGTAAGACTGGACTCAGAGCATGGCGGCAGGAAGGATGGGACAATGTGCCAGGAAGAACCGGGCTCCCAGGCCAGGCATTCGGTCTCCTCTCCCGCCACCCTGTACCTTCTGTGGATGCTGCTGTGTTGAGCTTCAGCGTCCCATCTGAGCATGCTGAAGAGGGGTGGTGGGGAGGGAGATCTGCTTGCCAGGAAGTGGGCGGGATGGTGGTTGAAAAGTTGGAATGGACACCTGTAAGGAAGAGAAATCACAGCCTGTGGGTTAGGGGAAGGACAAGGACATGGGAGAATAGTGAACATGAAAACAGAGAGAGGAAGGCAGGCCACTGAAACCCTGAAAGCCCTGTTCTGAATGACCATGTGCCTTGGCCTCTCTGAAGTCAGTGTCTTGCTCCCTTCTCTGAAGCACTGGAAAGTCAGATGTTATCAACTCACTCACCTTTCTCCAACAAGAGGTGAGCCTATGCCTCAAGGTAGGTTTGAAAAACTTCTTGTCGGGCCAGGTTTTTTCCTTCTTTTTAAAAAGATTTATTTTGATTTTATACACATGGGTGTTTCGCTTGCATGTATGTCTGTGCACCACATGCATGCCTTGTACTCTCAGTTGCCAGAAGAGGCCATCAGTTGTGGGCTGCCTGTGTCCTTGGAAGAGCAGTCAATGCTCTTAACTACTGAGCCATCTTTGTAACCCCTAGGCTAGATCTTCTGAGAGCTCACAGTTCCTCATATGCTTTTAGGCACCTTCCCAACCTCTACCCTCAGCCCCTAAAACTCATCCCAGAGTCTGCTTCTATCTCAATTACTTACCAGAGGTAGCATCTGTGGAGATGTCTCCTGCCCCAGAGTCCAACTGGCTGAGGCCCCAGGGCTCCTCCCCAATATCTGGCTGTCCAGCTGCCCAGGCTTCCACACCCAGAGCCTGCTGCTCCTGCAGCTGGAGCTCCCCCTCCTGCTTGATCTGCATCAGGAGGTCAGGGGCAGGAACTGGGGCTCCAGAGCCTAGGAAAAGGAGAGTACGTGAGGCCTTCAGGCCTGAGCTGGAATGTATATACAATCAAGGAGATCCTTAGGGTCTAACAGTACAAGAAAGCCATGACAGTAGGTGCCTGGGTTGGTGAGAAGGAAGAACATGCAGACATGTTCAGGGCTAGAGCTGATCCAAGGTAAGTCCTAGCTGCCCTCGAGTCTTGCTCTCACTTGCATATAATACAGGAATCTCAACCCTATCTTTCCGCACATGAGCTTAAAAGAGAGTCCAGAGGTCAAGGAAAGCAATTCGATTAGGGGATGGAGTGAGGAGCTGGGGATGTAATTCAGTTGGTGGAGTGCCTGCCTAGCTCAAGGAACTATCAGTCCAATCCCCAGCACCGCATCAAACAGTGATGGTGGTACATCCGGGTAATCCCAGGACTTGAGAGGTAGAGGCAAATGGATCAGAAGTTTAAGATCATCCTTAGCTATATAGCGAGTTTGAAGCCAGCCTGGCATACATGAGGCCCTGTCTTCCAAAAACATACAAACAAACAAAACAAAAAACAAAGGGGTGTGTGTATGGAGATTAGAATGGATGGTAAATGGCTGGGAGAGTTCTTGACAGATTAACAGCAAAGTCCCTGCCATCATCTCTGTAGATGTTAACAGTGGCATTCAGAGCTGAGTCTGGCATACAGTGGCTGGACACACAGGGAACCAGGGAAAGTCCCCTAACGGGCATCTAAAACATTGGGAAAACACAAAGGTTTCAAGCATAGGTGACAATACAGTAAGGTGAGCAGAGGCCGGGGCTGGTGGCAGACTGGCGAGTGCTGCCTGGGTTGAGGGAGTGTATACTCCAGCAGAGTAATGCTAACTTACTGACTGCTCCCCAACAACAGCCGAGTCAGAAGGACGAGGGACATTATCTTCACAGGTAAGAGAAAATAACAGTCAAACTAGAGTTCTGTCTTTCAACTACAGATGGAACAAAGGCATTTTCAGACAAATTCCATTACATGCAACCATGAGTTCATTACCATCAAACTCATAAAAAGTCACCCCATGAAAGGAAGGAAAAAAAAAGCTTACTGAAAAGAACTTTTGTTTTGTTTTCCAAGACAAGGTTTGTCTGTATAGCCCTGGCTATCCTGGAACTCACTCTGTAGACCAGGCTGGCCTCAAACAGAGATCACCTGCCTCTGCCTTCCAGGTGCTGGGATTAGAGGCGTGAGCCACCACTGCCGAGCATATAACTTTCAATCTAATTAAAAGTAACAATAGTCTGAAGAGAGGGTAAAAAACTAAATGAATAAACTCAAAAGAAGAATGGGGAAATGTAAAGGACAGGAGTAATACTGACATCCCAAGGAACATGGCAGAAGAGGATCCCGACAAAAGGTGACCAAAGCCAGGCACCTGTCTGGACCAGCCATACCCCACAGGATGGATGGTATGCTTTACCCATACCTCCAGAAGTGTTCCAGGAGCAAAATTAGAGAAGGGTGAGGAAGTGGAAGTGGATCCAACCTTTCCTGGTTTCTGAGGGCACCAGGCACACAAGTAGTGCCCAGACATGCATGCAGACAGAACACCCATACACAAACAATAAAAAAAGAAGTAAACAGCTGGGCGGTGGTGGCGCATGCCTTTAATCCCAGCACTTGGGAGGCAGAGGCAGGCAGATCTCTGTGAGTTCGAGGCCAGCCTGGTCTACCAAGTGAGTTCCAGGAAAGGCGCAAAGCTACACAGAGAAACCCTGTCTCGAAAAACCAAAACCAAAACCAAACAAGTTAACAGAAAGCAAAATAGAAATCAGTAATTCCATGTAGGTATGTATATGGTATATGTATCTTTGTAAATAATTCAAGGGTTTAAGGGAAAACTGAAATGCAAATTACAAGAGGGTATCTTGGTGCTAATGTTGATGAAAATATTATCAAAATGTGTGGGCTGGAGCTACAGTGGAAGATACAAGAAATTTTATAGTTTTGCATGTTTACAGTAGAAAAGACAGGATGAAAATTAATGGGCTAGTCAGGCAATGCAACGTCTCACAAGTAATACCAACAACAAAGCCTTTCTTTCTTTATTGACTGATTGATTGAGGCAAGGGCTCTCTGTGTAGTCACGGCTGTCCTGGAACTCACTCTGTAGACCAGGCTGGCCTCCAAACAAAAGCCTTTATAAAGAGCAGAAGGAAGCTACAGCTGTGCTCAGGCTTCTGCTTCCAGCCTCTTGGCAGGCAGTGAGGGGATCATAAGCACATTATTTAAAGTCACCTGGGCAACATTCTGCGCCCCTGCCTCAAAATAATGTGGGGAATAAACAAAATCAAACAAACAGACAACCAACAACAACAACAGGGCCACAGTGCAGAGGTCCGAGAACTTGCCCTGCATGTGGGAAGCCCTAGGTTTAATTCCCAGTCTGAGAGAAAGATGGGAAAGTGGAATTAGTAAATCGGAATACAGAAAAACAATGTGGAGAACATAAGATTAGTTCACTGAAAAGAATCTTAAGCTAGTTCATCTCTAGTAAAACTACTAGGAGAAAAGGAGAGAGCAGCCATAACCAGCCTGAGAATGAAAAAAGAAAGAGTGAGCTTAGATGCAGCTGAAGTTAAAATGGTAAGGAGTATACTGTGGATGGTATTCTAAATGAACAAATCCCCTAGAAAAATTACACTGACCAAAAAAGGAACAGAATACCTAAATAATTTCATAACTAAAATACCCTAAATCTGTTGTCTAAAGCCTCCAACAAAGAAAATTTGAGACCCACATGGTTTCAACGGTGTTTTCTGAACACCCAGAGTAGATCATTCCAACATCAAGCAAACTCTTTGAGCATATAACAGTGGAGACCACATAATGGCTTCTATCTTTAATACTAAAAGCAGGAGGAGGCAGTCTGTAAAAGGAAAATTATAATCTAACTGATGAACCATCAGCATAATAAATCTATAATGTACACAAATGATCATGACGCAGTAAGGTTTATTCCAGGACTGCAAGGTTGGTTCAACCTTAGGAACTAATGTAACTTACTGTATTAGTGCACTAAAGGATCAAACAGCAAACACAAAAATGTATCAACCTTAGGAACTAATGTAACTTACTGTATTAGTGCACTAAAGGAACAAACAGCAAACACAAAAATGTATCAACCTTAGGAACTAATGTAACTTACTGTATTAGTGCACTAAAGGGTCAAACAGCAAACAAAAATCGCATCATCTTAATAGATGCCAAAGCCAACAACAAATCCATCCTCCCAAACTGTAGTGCCTCCTGTTGGATGTTGAAGCCCTTAGCCATCCAGAACTGTAGGACTTGTTTAGTGGTATTCTCAATGTGGAAAGTTCAAAGCATTCCCTTTCAAATCATGAATCACTAGAGTACCCATTATCATGTGTCTATCACTAGGGTACCCATTATTACGTCTATATCACCAGGGTGCCCATTTTCTACTGAAGCCATTACAGATTTGAAAACAAAAACCAATACATTTTTATTAATTGATGTGATTAACTTCTCAGAAAATTTGAGAATTAGACAATTATTAGAAAAGTTATTAGTATTAATGAGAATTTCAGCAAGATTTCTAGAAATGTCAACAAATGAAAGGTAACTGCTTTTTCTTTCTTTTCTTCCCCTTCCCCCTTCTTTCTTTCTTTCCTTCTTTCCTTCCTTCCCTCCTCCCTCCCCTCCCTCCCTCCCTTCCTCCTTCCTTCCTTTCTTTCTTTCTTGAGACAGGGTTTCTCCGTGCATACCTGGCTGTTCTGGAACTCACTCTGTAGACCAGGCTGGCCTTGAACTCAGAGAGATAGCTTGCAGGGATTAAAGGTGTCCACCACCACCACACCACACCCAGCTTCACAACTGCTTTTTTAATACACAACTAGTGTTCTGAGGAGCCAGTCGATTGCTATTTTTCTTCTGATGTGGATCTTAACCCACAAAACAAAGGAGGGAAGCAGTGAGGCTAAGCTGTTTTTATGATGATAATTCAGACTTTCGCTTTCATCTGTGGACAAAACTGTTTACCGTGACCCTAGTGTCAGAAGTTAACCTGGGCTGGGCTGGAGCCTGTTCCTGGCAGGGAAGCTGAGGACAGCTGTCTCAGGAGGTGGCCAGTGGCCTGGGGACTGTGCTAGTTCAGCTCCTGGTCCTCACCTCTCCAGTGCATCACTTCACACATCAGAGGCAGAGGACTGCAAACAGTACCTCCACAGAGCTCCTGTTGGATGGGAGGGTGTTCCTGCCCCAGTCCCCATAAATCAGCAATAAACATAAACTGCTAGTTAAACAAGATGCCACTGAGCACAGCAATAAAATAAAACAAACAACAACAACAAAACAAAGTACACAAGGAATATAAAAATATAACTAAAGAAAAAGTATAAGACCTTTGGGAATTAAATTATGAAATGTGGTGGTGGTGGTGGTGGCGGCGGCGGCGGCGGCGGCGGCGGCGTACACCTTTAATCCGAGCATTTGGGAGGCAAAGGCAGGCCAATCTTTGTGAATTCCAGGACAGCCAGGGCTACACAGAGAAACCCTGTCTCGAAAAACTAAAACTAAATAAAGAAATAATCATGAATTCTTACTGAGATAGTATAAAGGACTGCAGACCATCAAGTATAACATGACTCTACTAGAGAAAAGTGTCAACCCTTTGCATCAAAACCCCATTTGTAGTTCCCTAGTACCTGATTAGCCAGTGAACGTCTCCCAGCAGCAAGGGAAGAACAAAGCGCTGGGAAGGAAGTACCACAGTCTCTTCAGCTGCTCAGTAGAGAACCTAATCCTGCTGGGTTAAGGGTTTGAATATGCAAAGCAAAGCTTGAAACTTTCAGTAGGAAATACAAGACTTTATGATCTGGAAACTGGGAAACAGTTCTTAATTGTTGAGACACAAAAAGGCTCGCACAGACAGGGGAAGACTACCAAACCTAAGTACAGTAGTGTGAGAAGCATCTGGGCTTTACACTACATCACGGAGCACACTGCTCAGGAGAAGAG